AACAATATAGATATCTAATAAAATATCAAAGAAAAGTAATACAGAATCTTTTCTATCTTTACGAAATAGTCTCAATGTGTACCAGATTCTTTTCCTACACCAATTTGATTTCCTACTGAGTGGATAATATCTCTTGCTGCTAATGTTTTTAAAGCTAAATAATCATAGCCAAGATTTGTTAAACGATAACCCTCACCTACAATATAATTACAAAATGATACTTGTTTATCGTGTCGTTTAATGCATACCTTTTGATCTTCTCCTAGCCGATGCATCGTATGCAACTAAACAATGACGAACCAATTCTCGAAGTATTTTATGACATCCACCATGTTTCAGTGATGCAATCACAGCAATTAAGTGTAATGGGACAAGTTCATGATTTCTCATACCCATTTCAATCTACATTGAAACATACAAAATACAATAGGGAAAATAAAAGATAAAACAAAAACAACTTACAGCCGTTAATACACGATAATCTTCTCCACTTAAATAGCGAATAAGAGATACGTCAAATTTTCCCATGTTTACAAGAGAATCTAAAATTTACAATAGAGAAAGCTAATCTTGTTCAACTGTTTTCTTTTCAAAAGACAAACATTTTGTGCAGAAAAAAAATAGGAATTCTAAATGTTTAGAATAATTTTAAATAGTTATTCGTCCAATGATATTGTTTCACTTCACGTCAAATTTTGAATACTTGTTTTTATAACGTAAATAGACTTAAATGTTGCTTTTTTTATTAAACTTTGTGATGCACGTTCAACCGAGATATGTTAGCGCTTTTGCTATAACATGGCTATGGACGAGCACATAGAAAATAATTTTATGTACAAATAGCGAAAAAAAAGAAACAGGCAATTACATCAAACAGAAGATAAAATTGACTCTGGCATTTTGCGTGTGTGAGGGTAGGCACGCGAGCGTGCTATACGCAAGAAGAACAACCATAAGGTGATACAAGAAAGGGCTAAGAAAAATTGTGTTGGCGTCATTGTGGAGAGAAAAGAAAAACGATATAGAAGGAAACCTCACGTACTGTGTAAAAAAAGTACAGAGTAAAACAAGATTTCTTTTTTTTGTTACCGGAATGACATATACGATAAAAGAAAAAACAATCGTTCGTTACACTTCTAGCACACGAGAATATGTCTTTGTCTTTCTTTTTTTTCCCTAATTCAGAGGTGAAAGAGTATTGGTGGAACGTGGCTGTTGTTGTTGCTGTTGAAAATTTTGAGATCCAAGAAGATTATTTCCACTACCCGTACATATTGAGACTATTTCGTAAAGATAGAAAAGATTCTGTATTACTTTTCTTTGATATTTTATTAGATATCTATATTGTTGCAAATAATAATGATGAACAAATGGTATTAAAATTACATCGGTATGTAAAAAAAGGTGTTTCACTAACTAAATTATTTACATTCTTGTTTATTTTTCTGTTCTAGTTTAGGTCGTACATGTTTTCGACAATTGAAAAATAAACGTGATTATTTAAAACATCGAAAAGGCTTTAGTTGGTTATATCTTGCACGATTAGCTGCAACAAAAGAATTTGCGTTTATGAAGGTGAGTTTTAGCATTTCTTTTTCATATTAGTTTAGATGATATGCTGAAAATTCATTATTTTTCTTTATTTCTAGACATTATTTGATCATGGATTTCCTGTACCGAAACCAGTTGATTGTAATCGACATTGTATTATCATGGAACTTGTGGATGGTTATCCATTGTGAGTTTTTAAAATAGATGGGTGATTCTTAGATGTATTCAAGCTTCGACATACTAACTTATCAATAACTGTTTTAATTCGTTTTTGTTTAGATGTCATATTAGTGATATTGATAAACCGGGACGTATCTATGATGAATTGATGTCATTGATAATTCGTTTAGCCTCTTATGGTCTTATTCATTCTGATTTTAATGAATTTAATATAATGATTAGTGATAGTGGTAAAATAACAATGATCGATTTTCCACAAATGGTCTCCATTGAACATATAAATGCTGAATATTATTTTGACAGAGATGTTCAATGTATAAGAGATTTTTTTCGAAAAAGATTTAATTTTGATACAGATATGTATCCTAAATTCAGTGATATCAAGTAAGCGAGATCGCTAAATAGTAAAATTAATAAAAAATGAAATTATTTTACGTTTATTTTTTTATTTTTAGACGTTTATACTGTCTGGATAATGATGTGAGAGCATCTGGATTTACAAAAGAACTTGAGAAACAATTTGAAGAGGTAAAAACCATATTTTAATACTTTATTATTCCGATACATCGAATTTTTAACATGGAAAGAGTATAGGGATGTTAACAGGATAAAAATTCGTTTAAATCCTGACAGCACGAGCAGGACATTGTGTCTCGATTAATACTCATAATGGACACTATTTTCATCCTTAATTTTTTATGATGCAGGTATCAGATACAATTGGCTTACGTAATAATGTTGAAAACGGCATTAATGATCAGTATGAAGAGGAGAGTGACGAAGAAGAGACACAAAATAGTAAACAGGAAGAAGATAACGAAGCGAATAGTCTTATTGAAACAATTACAAAAATAATCCAAACTAACGATAATTTACCATCAGACAGTGAACAATTCGATACTCTAAATCTTCAAACTACTGACGACAGTACGAAGAATACGATAATAGTCGAAGATCATTCAGAAAAACTGAAAGAAGAGAATATCGATGATGAAATATGTTTACGAGAAACTAATCGTACTAGTCGGCCATTTCGAGATAATAATAATAATGTTAATAAAGAACGAGAAGAAGAAGAGCAACACAGTGATAAAACTAGAAGGGTCAATTCAAAATTATCAACACTTTCAATAGACACTGATTATGTCAGATCAAAAGTGAAACAAACATTACAAAAGAAACTAAAACAACAGCATCGAAGATTATGTTCAAAGGGTGAAACAGCATTAGTGACGGCAAATAAAAGAGATTTGAAAGAAACAATTCAGTTACATTTGGAATAATTTTATTGTTATCTGAATTTTTTTTTTAATTATCTTTTATTATTAAAGTATCAAATCTGAACAATGAATCATGTGAAAGATTTTTCTATTATTAATTTTTGCAAAAAAGTTGCAACTACTACTTTGCTTTATTTTCTTGAAAGTAGGAACGCGTAAGCGGACAATATTAGTTCGTAATTATCCAATCTGCTAAGAAATCAGTTGTCAATTGGCTTGGTTGAATGTCGACTAATTTGGAATACTATTGGTCGAAATTGATCTGAATAATCCTTCTAACTTGAAGACAAAATACGAGAGTTCTAAAGAATTTAAACAGAATTCAGCTTATATGCAAACAGAATAAATTAAGCATTCTCTGTCTCTTAGAATGTTTTTATCTACTAGTCATAGTTCTACTATGTCTGGGAATTGTACACAAGAGTTACTACATTTTACTGATGTACAGTTGCATTTTTGTTTGCTTGTTCGGGCCTAAGACCTTCTGGTATTTTCGTGTGTGTTTCAGATGTATTTATCTCTAATACAATGGAAACTTGGATTTACTATTTGAGAGAAAATGTTCGTCGCACTAACTTTATGTACGTCTTCAAGTTACTCTTCTTATTCTTAGTAACTTTCTCATAATTTTTGACGCAAACAGATCGGTATCTACTGGAGAAAGTGAATCAAGTAAAATGATGTTATTTTTCAAACACACATTTATAAAATAAATTAGAAAAAAAATTAATTATTTTTCCCAGATTTTCTGTACCAACCGCTATTTGCCTACCACTTATAATACCATACCTTCCTATTAATTGTATTTTCTTAAAAATAAAACAAATATGGGCATCGGACGAATTTAAGCTTACCAACCGTATTTAGTCTTGACCTAAAAGTGGCCAAGTACTCTTTCAAGTCAAATTTACATGAATAGCTTAACGGTTTAAATGCATGTAAAAAACTGGTTAGCGTAGTCCCTATGGGGCTAAAATGTGTAACTCTTTTAGTTAGTAAAAAGTAGGTTTTAAGGTCAACAACTACAGCGTAAGAAACTAACCATATATTCTGTGATTTTAAACAGAGCTAATTTCCACTAAAATTTGAATGAATAGCAGCAATAATGACGGATCTCATCAGATACTGTCGTGCAATAAACTAATAACTCTAATAAATGATGAAACACTGAATTTAGGACAATCTCCATGTATCCCTTTCAGATACTCTTCATACACATTTAAGTCACTAGGCGGTTCCATCTTTGGGATAGTCTTCCTGCTACCACAAGCATTATCAGCGCTAAAACTAACCACAAGTCAAACTAACCACGAAAAATGAAGACTTTCTAAACTCAAAAACGATTTCCTGTGTTAACCATTTGAAAGTAAGAAAAATTGAATTAACCATTTTGTAGTCCTAAGTTCACTCTAGCTACACCACTTTTTTTTCACATGGAAAAGATGGAGAAATAATTTTTCTGTCGGTTGTCACGCATTTTTTTCATTAATTTTTTAAATTCTGGGCATAGTGGTGCTTCCAGTAAAAGTTCCATAACTCTAGCGAAACCAAAGATTTTTCGATCGGGTTTGTTGTATTTTGATCAGAAATGGTTGTTCTTCTCTACCTAACTGCAAAATCAAAACTTCGGTCATGTTTTTTCTTTTTTTTTCCTTTTTTTTTGTTTCTTGCTTGGGCACATTGTTGAAAACGAGGAGTTGTCAATTTTTTATGTATTTTTAAAACTTCGTTCTCCACACCATCTGTACCAAAAAAACGTTTACAGACCACGAGAAAGAGCACATTTAAAAGTTTAAAAAGTACTTAGTTCTCATTTTTGCTACACTTTTATACAAAAATAATAGAAGAAAACGCTTCAAGCCGAAAAAAATACCAAATTTACAAAGTTTTCATTTGTTTCACCTTTTGTATAATTTGAGTAGTTTCCTTGATCGAAGTTCTGAAATCCAAATTTAGGTAGAGTATTTCGCAGTGCACCTTTTGAAAAAAGCACTAACCTTCGGGTCCTAAAGAAGCACAAGAAAAATAGAAAATACTAAATGGTCTATTCTTTATGTCGCATCCGTTTATAAGTGTAAAATAATCATTTATATGACAAAACAGTCATTGAAGCAGTATAATCATCTTAGTTATACTTTTCATTAGTACAATAGATTCCAAAAATTTAAAGAGAAACATTACCTTTTTTTTTCTTTTTTAGTATATGAAGTATATCTGTTTTAGTGCTAAGAATTAAATCAGTCATTTTTCTGTTTATTATTTTGATGATATTTTAATGTGTAGACATCATTATTTTCATGTCGACGGTAAATGAATTAATAAAGTTTATTTCTTCATGATAGAGGATAATTATATATGAGTAATATCTGTTAATGAAACATATTTTGATCTTGCATTGAAGTTTATACCATTAAAACGATGTTGCCGAATTATGAGCGTTTCAGTCGTTATTATCAATGTTATGTAATCGAAAATTCCTTGCTTTTTATTAATCGAAATACACATTTTTTCATCAGTTTTGGATACATTTTAAGAACGTAAAAATTCAATGGGAAGAGCAGTAGAAAATAAATAAGTATATAGAGAGTAGAAAACTGTTAGCGTAGCAGTTTTATACTCTCTATATACTTATCTTCAGAACGAATCTTTTCAGAACGAATCAGAATCTTTATTTTTAATGATGGTACTAATTTGTCGAGAGTGTCTTACTTTTTTACTTCTATTTCTTTTTTTTCATATAGTAGATAATTTTTCCGATAATTGTTCTTTAGTCAAGTATTATAAGAAAATTCTAATCATAATCGTTTGTTCTGCTACTGTTGTGTTGTAATTTAATAATTAATAGAAATGATGTAAAAAAACGAAACAAAAAAATTTTGAAACAAATAAAAGTCGTTTGATACGAGAGTTCACCTTATAGAACAATATTTTCGTTTTATGAACAAAAATTATCATTCCATGTTTTATTGATAAGATGGTTTGAATACCAAATATTAGAAGAATCTTTCATGGCATCACTGGACATTAAGTCAAAACCTAAAATAAATAATTAAACACATTTAATATGATCCTATATAAAGTTTAAACACAGTTCAAGTAAAAGGTACACGATAATGCACAATAGAACTATTTCCCTGTATTTATGATACCTTGATAGGAAGCTTGACTATTAAATGCTCCTGTTGGACTTGTTCCATAATCGAGTGAAGATGAAAAATGATTTATATTTGTTGCCAATGCACTCGATGATGTTGGTGAATATGTGTGATGAGACGGAGTTGTTTTAGCTGAATCAAAATGATTTTTGACTTGTAAATTAACAGAAGCAGCGGCAGCAGCAGCGGCTGCGGCTGCAGCTGCTGCCACTGCATTCGAAGCTGCCGCAACGTCAGACGGCTGAATTGTCGAATGATGATGATTGAATGATCGATTACTGTGTGAAGAAGATGGCACATGATGATGATGTCCCGTACCTGTACTGCTGTTCGTGCTAGTTGTCGAATGTAATGGTGAATAAAATCGTTGATCATTTCCACTAATAGCAGATGTTAGAGGTGAATTTGAAGTGTAAGAAAATGGTGTTTGACCTGTTGATCTATGTGAAAATGGATTCGCTAGTGCTGCTGCTGTTAACGAATAAGAATGCATCCATGGATCATTAAGATATGGATCACTAATTGTACTTGAATAATTTGGATGATAAACATAACTTGGCCAAAAAGAACTAGACGACAAGGGAACATGATACGATCGATTATCTAAAGAAAAAGTGTTTAATTATTAAAAAATATGACTTGTATTTACTATATCTTGCTCATTACTTGTTCTTGAATACGAATTTGTTGCATGAAATAGACTACTGTTCAATGTTTGTGATGATGGTGTTTTTAATGCTTTTTCAAAATGTTCACTAACAATATTATCCGAATTTCCTTGATAATATCGATAAATTACTGAATGTTCTGATGCACTTTCCATTATCTTCTCTTTTGATGATTGATTATTGTGCGTCTCACTTGAATTTGAATTATGATCTTGAATTAATGAATTTGATGTACGTTGTTGACGATGTTGACGATTACGTGTATGATGATGAGAATGATGTTGTAATGCATCAGTTTTAGCTGTATTTTCGTGTTCTGCCAATGTTGTGAGTGATGTAGTGTCCTGATGTAAATTGTTTATCATATTATCGAGATTTGTTGTTGAAAAATGAGGAGATGAAGAAGTGATAATGGCACTTTTCAACAATCTAGTATCGGTAGATTCTTGTTTGTATATTGGATCAATATTACTCATTAATCAACTAAAAATGAAAATATTAAGGGAAATGAAGTTGAAATAGAACGTAAGATATTCCATCATTATTTTGAATTAATTTTATTGAATATTATTCACCAACAAACAGTTCTTTAAAGAAAAAACCTCGTATTTAGCTTACGAGAAATTATAATTTGTTTGTCTTAATAATGTAACGTTTCTAATTATGATATCTTTTAGACATAATTATGAATTCATGAAATTATTAGAATAAAACTTACGGTGTTTTAATTACTATTGAAGCAAGGTTAAAAAAAACATTTTTCTTATTAAAAAATAATGATTTTTTTTGGTTAGATTTTTTTTTCTTATTATTATTTCATCCTCTTTCTATGCGTCATGGAAGAATTTTGTTGCCGTTTTTAATGATAACAATGAAGAGAAAGAGAAAAGAAGAGCGACGTAAAATCGTTATGCATAATCATGTACAAGACAAAAAGAAATTAACATTATCTCTGTATGTTTTAAAAAATACCATCGTTAAGGTTTTCCTATAAAAACAAACGCGATGAGCGAGTCATGATTAATGTTTTTCCTGACTCAATACGTGTGTGTGTGTTTGAATGTCACAGACAATTTATTATCTTAAACATACATTCTTTTCCATCTATCTAAAAATATTCAATCGCAGATAGATCAAATAACATCATCGGTTCTCTTTTCTACACTTATCTATGTCTTCTTTTCACCAATTAGACTATTTCAGATAATATAAGCCAATAAATAAGAATAATATGAACACCAATAGTTCTATTCCCATGATATTATCAATTTATAAATATTAAGATGATTGACTTATGGGACATCGTCGTTATGTTAGAATCACTGAACTTTGACACTATGATAAATTGAAACTAAATTAGTCGGATTTTAATGATAAATGATTTTCAAATAGACAAAACATACATTAACTATTTTTTTACATATCTTTTCATTGTATATTCAAGAAAAAAAATTTACTTAAACATATTATTTAGAATTCAATAATTTAAAGTGTTAAAACAATTGTATTTCGGATAAGGTCCTCTCATTTTAGGAAATAGAGTGAAAAGAAAATAGCAATCGTATCGATTATTCGACTATCACATTGTGTTTACTTTTCATTATCAATTTTAACGAAAAAACATCATACCTCTACATTATTGACTGTATTGATATTTCATTTTGTTATTTTTCATTAAAATGTTTTTATATAAACAAATAATTCACAATTTATTATTTATTTTTAATTGAACGTAAGTTAAAAAGCTTAATTTAGTTGTTACTCTCGAATAAGAGAAGAAAGAGAAAAAAGAAAGAGATGATGATAACGATAATGGATTTGTATTTTTTTTTGTTTTTTCAAACATAATGTACAAGCTCTTTTACCATGATGATGATCATGATGATGATGCTCATCTTTTCAACTCTACTAAAACACCTCCATATTATTTGTTCAACTTATTTGACTTGTGATTAGATGAGTAAGAATGAGTGCGTGCAAATTTGATTTTTTCATGTGTTAATATATAATCTGTAGTCTATTATTCAATAGAAGATACAAAACAAAGATCTTTTTTTATAATTGTTTACCTAATCTCATCATTGTACAAAGGGAAAAAGAGAGAGAGAGAGAGAAGAAAAAAAAAACGAAATTTTCTCTTATTTTTGTCAATACAACCACCTCTGAGTGATTATAAAGGTAAATTAATTTTTCTTATAATGCATTTTACTTTGAATATTTTCAAAATTTTTTTCTTTCACAACTCTGTAGAATAATTTTGTATCAGTTATTTGAATATATCATTTAGTCATCTTCAAAACTTTCTTACTTGATCGTACGCGATAGTTCAACATCATACTGTTAAGAAGAATATGAATAAATCAACATGAAAACTAATACAAAAGAAAAAGAATTAATTAAGAATATCTCTAATAAAATATGTAATGTCACTCTTCATTTTTCATACGCAGTGTGAGATTATATTACTGTTAATAGACAAATCTGCAATTATTCATTGAATAAGACACATCTGTCGAAATAAACGAGAAAACAAATTATTTCTTTTCTGAACATGTGAATAAACAAACTTGTTATCATTTTTTATCAAATGATAATACAAATGAGATATTTAGTATTTTATGTATAAAAAGCAACAATAAATCGAGTATACTAGTGTACTAAAAAAAATATTTCGCTATCAAATATTCTAAAGAAGTGTTTAGCTATAACAAATTTCATGTATTGAATCATTGTTCAGTATTTTTATTTGAACATTTTAAGAAATTAATTTTTTTGTTAACTTCATTAGAACCTAGAGGACCAGAGAAATAAAATTAAAAAAATCATCCAGTAATTCTCTTACACAGCACGTAGGATGATAAAACATGAAAAAATAGCGTAGAAGTAGTCATTTAATTTATATTTTCATACTTATGAACAATACAATCTCTTAATAACAACGAAAATACTAATATTAAATGAAAAACAAATATTCATTCGTTAAAAGATCAATAGTTAGAAATATAAGAATTTTGGTCTATCACACATATGCACGTTTTCCATCCGGGTATAACTAAAAATAGTCAAGATATTGTATACAGTATTAACGAGTTTAGTACAAGAAGAAACTGGATGAACAGATATGAGCAAGTACTACTCGAGTACAAAATTTATGATACTTATACTCATATTCGGAATTTTTATAATTATTACACAAAAAAGTACTCAAGTACTTGGTTTTTAACAAAATCTCGTACTAACACAAAGTAGTCGTAGTCGAATAATTTCATCCTTGTCCATCTCTGTGGATGAAAAAGACATTAATAAATGAGTTATATTATCTGTGTTTGATTCAACGAATACTCATTCACTAAACGAATAACTTACATATTTAACAATTGTAAATCGTTTTTCCATTGTTTCCATTTTGTAAATTGTTTGAAATATTTGATAAATTGGCGGTAATGGTAATGATATGCCAACAAGACCTATGGAGAAACAAAATATGAATAAATTTATACATCATTTTTGTTCTTTTCCAAAAAGCTAATACTGTACTTTTTTGCTGTACATACAAATAAGATTTTGAAAAAACGTACCTATAATCGCAAATATTGCACATAAGAATTTTCCTCTAAAATGTTTAAATAATGTACAATGTATTTATGTTGGATAAAAAAAATTTTAATATGATAAAAATTATATAATTCATACTTACAATGGACTTTTTGGTATCCGCTTAGCATCACCAACACTCATAATCGATATACTAACGAAATTAAACCAATCTTCAACCGTGTTAATTTTACTTTTTTCATAGTTTTTTTCTATAATGCAAACACTAACACCAAATGTAAAAACGAATATTATGAAAATAAAACCAATCAAAAATATTTCACGATAGGCTTTTTGAACACCTAAAAATACATACAAATATCTTTACTTTTACTGTTTCTTATCATGTTTTATGTTGAAAATTTTAGTAAAAATGATTATACAAAAAGACTTTTCAACAACTTAGAAGAGTATGAGAATATTGCTGAAAAATATCGTTACGCATTATATTTTACCTAATAATAAAATTTTTGTTGATTTAATAAATCGACAAAGATGAAATAATCGAAATAATCTAAAAATTGCCAAGAGTCTATAAACATTCATAGCTAAAAATGGTTTATCCAGATAAAATTTAAATATAGTTAGCACTATATACATCCATCCACTTGTGATTATAATTAATTCAATAATAGATAGGATGGATAGTAAATATTTGAATTTAAATGGAGATGTTATAAATCGAAGTAAATATTCAATAGTTATAAGAATGGTGCACGTTGATTCAATTTTATATATCCATCCGTTTTTAAATGGACGAAAATCCAAAAATATTTGATCACAATATTTATCATTCACAACTTTGCTGTAACAAATTTGTTTTTCTCGACTTAAACTTGGTAAAAACTCTACCGTTATTATGAATATGTATAATAATGAGACAATTAAACATATAAAATTTGTCTAAAATGGACAAATAAATGCTTGAAATTTGAACATTTTTTCAATAAAAATCGCTTTCTCAAAAGTAAATGTAAATTGATGAACATCAACTGATCTGACTTTTTTGCTCTAAGACTATAAGTAGAATCAATTTACTTACTGTTTGTGCTAAAAATGAACTATCACTATATTCTAATGTAATCCAGATAGTTGTAAAAAATGAATTTTTCGGTACATATCGTATATCTTCAATAACGCCATCACCCACTTGTGTTTCATAAAATTTTTGTATTACTTCATCACCCAATTCAAAATATTTTAATTCTTCAAGAAATATGGCTGGTTCATAGACAGCTAAAAAAAAAATACATCAATATATGAATATTATAAAATTTGATTTAGATTAGATACTGCGAAAAATTGAATTTATTAAGTTGAAATCGACTCTGATCATCATGAATATTTCATCTCAGAGACAGAGAGAGAATATTTCATCAGAGAAAGAGAGAGACAAAAGAGGTTGAATAGAAAATGAGAAATATAAAGCTTTTCTCGTTTTTTACTCGTTTTAGATATATTTTATTTTGCATGTGTTATAACAATACTGTAGTATTTTCTGGCATCAGTAATAACCAGTTTTCTTTTTTATTTATTTCAGATTTTGGACTTTTTTTAGTCCTAAACTAACTATTTTATTAATTATTTTAAGAATAAGAAAGACTTGCAAACATTTACTAATAGTAACATCTTCCCATTTTGTCTTGTGTTTCTGTTGTTCATTTTAGATGAATAATAGTGTAAGTTTGTTCTTCTGTCTCTTCTTCATAGTAGCGTTGTTGTGGTAAATGGATTTCTCTGAAGTGCAGAATCAGTTCCTTGGCAAAATGTGATGGCTGCTTCCATACAGGTCCTCCCAAATTTACATTGACTAAAAGCCGTGTCGAAAGTTTCAGTTTTATTGAAAATTCCACATCGAATATGCTGGATTTTATTTCAACAAAAGGTGTTATAAAAAAATCAAGATGAGCATTCAAGACAGTGTCCAAAACGGTCTGTATCAACTAGCTTTTAAGCTTACATGTTGGAATTAATCGGTTGACTGAGATTTCAAAAGTAGAAAAATTCTATGGAATACCATAGAATTTTCATTTTCCCGCTGTAAGATCCTAGAACAATATTGCAGAGACCACTCTATAGTCAAAATGTAGAAAAATCATTCGCTTTAGTATGCCAGAAACCATGCGTCTATCCGATGTATCATCTCTGAGACATTCGACTTCACAGTTTAAGGTTTTAAAAAAGTTCTCAAGTTGGAGTTCGATTATCTCGTAAACCACAAGTCAGATTTTGTTTCAAAATTTCTATCAGTACATCTTCACTCATACTATCATCAGCCAAAGTTACGACGTTCTCCTCCTCAAATCAAGCGAGATTCAGACCTGCAAGTTGTTTTCGAAATAATCGAGACTTTCTTCAACACTTTTTTCAACTAAATAGACACATAGTCCGTCAAATTGTGAACAAAATAATACGTCTCGCAGATTTTTGCGATTTTTCATTACCGAAAAATGTAGTTTACAAAGCCGCAGTCTATCGTTTCTCAAACAGTTGCTTTTTTTCACCAATCAGTCGTTACCTTCAGCAAAATTGTTATAATTCTAAGAAAGCTGTGTCTTTCACACTTCTGTGAAATAAAACAAACCACCTATTTCCTTGTTTATTTATATAAGAGACTTCTTGTAAATAGGCAGGACACGGTAGTTTCTAGACAAGGCGACACTATAATGAGTATGTAACAACCGCACAAGTGTGCATGCAAAACAGTTTGAAAAGATTTTAAAGGAGAAAAAGCGTTACGAAGGTGCATTTCTGAGAATCTGCCTTTTTTTGCACTTACAAATTTTCTATAGAATAGTTAGAAAGAACTCGAAAAGTTGATTTTATTAATGTAGGTTAGGTTCAAAAATACTGTATTTGGAAAACCGTCGCACTAGTTGCTTGTTGAATATCTTTCAATGGTCTCTCTTCACCACACGCAATCGCAGCCATATAAATGCAGGCACCAACAATGGCTGTTGGTGATCGACTTTGTATATTACATAGTTCTGATGCTTTTTCTACAATATGCTGAGCAGTTAGTATGCAGAAGATAGAAGCTGACATATATTGTTAAACTTTGTCGTTCTTATCCTCTAACCGAGCATGACTCAATGGTTGAATGACTCATAGTCGATGTCATTAAGCATTCCTGAATACTTCATCAGATAAGAATATTTCCGGTAACAAGCCAATTTGTTTTAAAGGTTTTCTAACTCATATCGACATCTATGAGTCATTCAACCATTGAGTCATGCTCGGTTAGAGGATAAGAACGACAAAGTTTAAGTTCTTTTCCGTTTTTTCTTTTCGTCATATTTTACAGAAATACTAACAGTCAAGTTTAGCTCAGCGCACTGATCTATCTCTAGAACTGGACAATTTTTTCTTACCGAGCCTTGATGCGGGTTTTTAACATTCTTTCTGGCATCGGCGTTGTATTTTACAGCACCTGAAAGGGCTTTTTCTCAGAATAAAACCCCAATTTGGTATTTTCACACATATTATATGTTTGAAAATATTAATTAGAATTATTTCTTTTTCGTTCGTATTTTACTACATCGTTTTGGTTTAGTACCACCGATTTAAAAAGAACATGATGTTTACGGGATCATCTTTGCAGGATGTCCGGAAAAGAAAAAGAGAAGCAAAATTTCTAATCGAGGTTTTTTCCAAACGCGAATAAGTTCTTCAAAGTTTGAGTCCTGTCCAGTCCGGATCGATGAATCCAAAAAATTTCCATTTCATACAGAGCTCTGGCTCTATGATATATTATCTATATTCTGTAAGTTTCATTATCCGTAGATGCCTTTTGTGTTATGAATATTTTCACTCTAGTAGTTCAAAAAGATTTTCCATTTTTCTCCCGTATGATCGGCCTGTCCACAGAATATCCATGCCAGTTAGCCATTTTTCCGTATTTTGCGCACAAACACACAGACACGTACACAGACAACCATTTTGTAACACCACCCTAGACTAAAGTCAAGAGAAAGAGTATTTTAGAAGAACTGGAAGACGGCTGATTCTTTTATCATGAATTCTACACTCTTCTTTTTTTTATATGCTTTCTTTTCTATTTCTCTGTCTCATACACTAGTTTACTTTTTATTATGTCGATAGACATTTTGGAATTGTTCAGGGATTTTTTTTTCTTGTTTAAGTGAGTCGTATGATCTAGAGAACCACGTAACGTAGAGATATTCGGAGAACGGGAGATAGTTCTCTGGGTTCTGAATGTGGACCATTTCACGTTCTATTTTTAAACAACCGCCATTTTCTTTATTTGTAGGTACAATTGAGAAAATGAATCTGAATGCTCTTTAGAACATAGAATTCTATGTTTTAAAGAACTTCGATGTGTCTTAAAACACACCGAAGAATGTCATTGAAAAGAGAAATGATTTTAAAAGTTTATCATTGATTATTGAAACGGTTTAGAATACTCACAATAAGAAGAAAAAAGGACCGATAATTACTCCGCTGAAATTGTTGCAAGTCTCTTTATAATATTTACTGCTTCTTATCTTTTATGTATTTGCCTGACGGATGGTTTACTCTGGTGTTATGTCATCTAAGCACATAGCCTCAAAATAATGTTGTTTTTCTTGCTGCGTGATACTGTGAGGTAAAACGTTTTTCCATTATATTAAATATATTAATACTTAGTTTTATAAAAAACGTAAAAAGGCCAAAGAAAGGCAATATTGTTTTATTAATAGTTCACATCAAAATATCAGGCCATATAGATAGTTATATTTTTGTCTAAATGTGGAATTGTCCCCTTGGGAGGGGGGGAGATCTGGCAACCTTGGTCTCGATTGTGGTCTTGTTGTCGGTGATCGAATGATCGATGTCGGTTCGGAGTGGCGAACATTTTGTGCGAAAGATGGAGACTAAAAAGATGTATCGCGTGCGGGTAGTTTCGAAGAGCCGTTATTCGACGATGTTGATAGTTTTGGAACAGTAATGAGAGATGATAGTACACGTGACAAATTTGGAAAAGGGAAATATAGAAGTGAACAAATGTCAACAAAAGAAAGAGTACTTCGAAATAGATTTGGCTCAATTCAAGTTATCGGCGCAAAAGTAAATTTAGAAAAACGAATAACTGAGCGTGCTAAAGTTATCTTTAAACAATACTATGAACAAAAAAATCGACACTCCCCTATTTGCACTAGTCTTATTTTAAGATGTTAGCCTCAAGGAACTCATATATCGATTTTAATTTGTGTTTAGTACTTGGATATAGGAAACAGACGAATATAGATATTTCGAAACCCAATTGATTTCTCTGACAACAGTCTATGAACACCATGTATACGGAATCCGTATTACGGATCAGATCCCCTCATTATCTTACAAAGACAAGCACTGTCAAAGTGGGTCGATCTGACTGATCCATCTAAAGATAGGGAACATTTTTAGTTACAAAATCTCGCATGCTTTTTGGACGCAGATTCATGAAAGTATTTTCTGAAACACTTATTCTGCATCCCATTACCTATAACATAGCGAAAAAGAAAAACGTCTGATACTTTTCCGTTGCTTTTCAACTACTTAGAGCAACTGAACTCTAATACCAGACTTTCTTCTGGTTTCATCTAGTAGGCTGCTTTAGATAATTTTTTGATTTTGTTCTATTTCTATCTAATCTTTCTTTTGTCTGCTTTATTCCTGGATCATTTTATTTGGATGCTTTTTCCTTAAAAAAGGAGTATGGACACCCGCACAAGCGTGCATGCAAATTGGAACTGGATTTTGATTTTATGCATTCAAGATGCACGAAAATTGCACTCAATCTATACACAAGAATACACTCGAAATCCATAAACTAAGCATCCGTCATACCGTATTAAGTCACTGTAGATGCATAAAATCAGAATCTAATCATATTTTGAAGGCATCCTAGTGCGCATTTTACATGAAACATTTTTACCAGCAACGAAAAAGGAGACTATTTTGAACGCACTGTGGATTCTCTGTTCTTACACTTCTTTTGTAATCCAGTTCAAAGAAACCTCTAACTCATCATGATTAGAATCATCTCCGGCTTTGTTACTGCTATCTGATCCTTCCGTTTTGAGCCTTCTACTTTGTAGATTGCAGATTTCTTTTAATAGCGAATATTGAACGCACTCTTAATTATAATCATGATCAGACCTGTGCGCCGATAAAAAATTGTCGGCGGCGGCGAATGAAATTTTTACCATAGGCAGCGGCGGCGCGAGGTTATAAAAATTTCCTCCCCCTTCGGCGGCGGACTGTAAAAATTGGTTATCGGCGGCGAATCTCATAATTTAAGTAAAACAACGTTCTCTTTCATTTCTGACACATTCTTCGCGCGCCAACTGTATCTGTACGTTGCGGTATACGAAAAGATAGAAACGCGCTGCACTCTAGATGCCTAAGGTAAGAATGTACTAACAAAAATAGTCAAACTTTTCGGAAAAAAATTTTCTCCGCCCTCGGCGGCGACAAAAGTTTAGCGCCGTGACGGCGGCGGTGGAAGTTAGAAGTTTTTCTCCGCCTTCAGCGGCGGCGCACATCTCTGACCATAATAAATGAGTGTTTAAATACAGTACATATCAAAGTACAGTACATATCCACGAATGTTTAAGTAAGGAGCAAAGTGAATCAATTGTAAACTTGCTAACACATATGTCCCATTTACTTCTATCTAAGAATGAATGTTGCACGTAAAACCATGTTAGTATTATTTTAAGTCGATATCAACAAATGATGTTCATATACATTCAGTACGGTATTTCAGCGATAAATCTGTAAAAAGTTTCTTATTGTTATCGAAATGAAATTGTGTTTGGATAGATCTTTTATTTTCTTGTATTGAGTATTGGAACTGCCATGAAGAACCCGGATTTCTGCGAAATAGAAATCCTCGACTGTGTGGTTTAGCAGTCAAACGAAAGATTTTTCCATTGACAGATGGTTAAGGAAAAGGATTAGTTTTAAATTAAAATGTTCTTGCTATGTAGTGGAATACAGCACAACCTTTGAATGGTAAACAAATGGATGTTATAGAGTTAATCGGTAACTATATTTTCTGATCCGTCTTTAACATCAGATATAAGTTCAATGATCAGGACTATTCTAACAGTTTCTTTTACAGTTATCGATAATTGATGATCCCTTGAATATCCATATGAGGGTTTTGTTGATTAAATGTGACATCATACTAGTCATTATTGTTGACATTTACTTTCATCAGATGTGATGTCGAAGAAAATATTGCTCTCGATCACTTTCTCAAAATTGTCAGTGGATATCGATCGAGTGGGGTGGCAATTTAGCATATTTCTTAGTGGTACCAGCTACCGCTACCGCCTAGGAGAGGCCAAGTTTCTAGTATTCTAACGAGTTGCTATCATTGTCGCTTCATTATCACTGTTAATCAACCACTTAACAAACCACTTTGGCCGTAAATAAATTAATCGTAAAATTCTTTTAAATTAGATAATAAAATGCGGACCATCTTCTTTCAGTTACTTTTACAACTGACGACGAGACTAAGTTATTGCCTTCATTGTACAACGGCTCAGTCCTTATATATGTGTAAATATTCTGTATCATTCTCAAAAAAAGGAGCAAAAACTTTCTCAAAAGTTCAACGAGTGAAAGATTCAGAATTCTAAAATAAACATGTTCGTGAGTCTCACATTAACCAAAAACAGACAAAATTTGTTTGAGAGATGATTCGTCGGACGATATCAGTTGAGCAGGGCAAGCGAAAAACTATGCTCTTACCCGGAATGTTCAATTTTCCTGTCTCATAATAATTTAATATTGCTTCGAATGAAGCAATATGTCGATCAACCACAAATTGTCTTTTAGATAAATTAAAAAATTTTGCACGACGTTCAGCATCACCTGAGTGTAGAAGTAAAGACTTGCCCACAATAGAACAGAATGCCTTAAGCAACATACCTAATAATGTATTAGGATAATTTTTCAAGGATTCTTCTCGAATTTCAAATATAATTCCCAAACAATTGAGTACGATCAGTTTATTGATATTTTCTGATATTTCACTTGATTTGCTACAATGTTTTTGGGCCAAAACCTGGTGTAACATTTTAGATCTAATTGCTTCTTTACGATACAAGTGGCAGAAGATATCTCATCGTTCAACGAAGGCGCCATCTTTCTCTCGTATCGCTCGTAACTATACGTTTAGGTGAGCTTCCGGATTAAAGTAACAAAGTAATTTCAGATAAACCAAACGACCAAATCGTCAACGAACGAGGATAAGAGTCAAATGAGTATTTTTCTGGTTAAATTCTAATAAGTAGATTATTTATCTCAATAAATGAGATGTACGTCATCTCAAAATAAATCCATCTTAGCTTAAAACGGATGAATGTATGTCTTGTTGTAAGACTGATGACAAACATCTTATTTTAAGACGTTAGCGTCAAGAAACTCATATATCGATTTTAATTTGTGTTTAGTACTTGGATATAGAAAACAGAAGAAGATACATACTTCGAAACCTCTTTGATTTCTTTGACAACAGTCTATGAACACCATGTATATGGATCAGGTACTCTCATCATCCTTCCTGTGACATTAGTAAGACTTTCGTCTTAAAATAAACCGTTTCGATCTATCGTCAAACAAAATGAGTGAATCTGGCTAATTACCATCCGATTCATATCGTCTTATTTTAGGGCGCATACGGAGGTGTCGTAAAATATAAGGAAACACGAATTTGTAACAGTTTCTAATCAAGCAGTCGAAGTCTACACCTACAGTAGCATTTGTAGTGTCTTTTAATCTTCACGCGCTCAGGAAAATAATCAATACTAAACTTAGAGGAGGGAACACTGCAACGGAACCAAAGTGCAAGAATTTATCTTTTCATTATTATTATTGATGGTTTTTCCAGTTTGCTGTATTTATTGTTAAAGTAAACTTAACATCGCTCAATAAAAATGATGAATATTTAATATTCCTTGGTTTTCTCAAGTTCGATTGCTATGAATGCTTCAACAGTAGATGCCGTCTTTTTCACTTAATATTCTTATGTTTCTCAGTTGATTGAAAATGACAACAGTCTATGAACACCATGTATACGGATCAGGTACTCTCACCATCCTAATAAGAAGTCTTTCGTCTTAAAATAAACCAAATAAGACCTTAGGGCGCATACGGAGGTATCGTAAAATATAAGGAAACACGAATTTGTAACAGTATCTAATGAAGAAGTCGAGGTCTACACCTACAGTAGCATTTGTAGTGTCTTTTAATCTTCACGCGCTCAGGAAAATAATCAATACTAAACTTAGAGGAGGGAACACTGCAACAGAACTAAAAGTGCAAGAATTTATCTTTTCAAAGCCTCCTGTATCAATGCACAACTGAATGAATATGATTATATAATAAACTTTCCGAGTACTCTGTAAAAACATTACAATGACTGAACTCTTTCGTTCATCAAAAAGTAAAAATATTCCTTTTTTAAAGAAAAAGCATACAAATAAAATGAGCAGGAATAAAACAGAAATAAGAAAGATTAGATAGAAATAGAACAAAATCAAAAAATTATCTAAAACAGCCTACTAGATAAGACCAGAAGGTTTCTGAGCTTGGGAAGTGTGCTATTAGAGTTCAATTGCTCTAAGTAGTTGAAAAGCAACGAAAAAGTACCAGACTGTTTAACAAGATAGCGCAGTACAATCCGAAAAATGTTATAAAATTCAAATAAACAAGAACTATTCCAATAATTCCTGCTATTCTGTTCTCTCATGAAATATTAAGTTCATGATATGGACAATGAGAAGGGCTATAATAATACATTATTTTTCAACTAATTAATATAACTGGGACCTAATGTGCAAACATTTCGTATTTTTATCCGACGAGTTCGACGTCAATTATGTGTTCTTCGCTTTTCTATTTGATAAAGCAGGAAAATCTGACGGTAAAACGTTAAACTGAAAATCTTGTGGAAATAGTTCTGTGACTTTTGTTAACAGAATCTGATATGCTTGACGTATAGTCGTCGCACTAGTTGCTTGTTGAATATCTTTCAATGGTTTCTCTTCACCACACGCAATCGCAGCCATATAAATGCAGGCACCA